TAGTACTTTTAAGACCACATAGATCCAGTGGCTTTATATAAAACTCCCAAATCCCTCACATCTGCTGGAATCATTGAAGCCTTTTGGGTCATACAGAAGCATCAAGAAAGTTCAAATGCAATGAATAAAGGAGCATACTCAGCTAACAGAGTCAAAAAGCAGACATGGGATTTTTACTAGGATTTCCTTAATCTACCATTGCCTAGTTTCATACACAGATCTCCAAGTTAAAACGTGACACTACAGAGGAGCAATCAGAGCAGGAGGCAAGTTTATTTCAGTTCCACTTTAAATTTATAATGTGAATAAATCAATCTGACTGGTTAATGAGGAATATGAAATGAATTGACAACTGTGTGTTAAATGCTGATGGAAATTTCAGATCTCAGCTTTCCCATTCTCCACCCTTTGCATCTCTCCTCTCCACTGAACCAGGTGAGGACTTGCAGCTGGTTTTAAAATATGGACTCAACACTCATTAGGTCAGCAAATAAAGCACTTGAAGCTAAATCTTACACAGGTTGGGAAACTGCAGCACACAGACTTTCCTTGCTTAAGATCAATAGGCCACTGGTAGACTGGGAGCAGGACCCAGTCTGCTCCTGACTCCCAGTCCAGCTCCCCTTTTGCTCTGTATCCTGTGAAAGACCTTTTAATCCTACCCCCACAGAGTCTGACATTAACCTGAAGCTACTCACTATTTTGGCAACAGTTTGCTAACTAACTGTTTAAGAAGCTTTTCATACTAAATGATTGTTAAAATGGAAACCTAGATTGCCACTTGTCAGATAAGGACCAACTTAGGCACCACCAGGCTCCTTTATTGCAAGTGGTTAGCAATACAGTAGGTGAGGAAGAACATGAACCACAGCAGCTAGGAGTGGATGTGGGATGCAAGGGACACTTGAATCCCTTGTGCTAGCAGAGCCAGACTGTTTCAGACATAACTTTACCAGGGCTCTTTTGACTGAAAGCATGATGGGCTGACTGCTAGAGGCTGTCTGTTCTCTCCAGTCAAAACCATTCAAGTGTCTGTCCATATCTTGAAAGACAATTTAAAATGAAAGCTTTTTACCCAGCAGTTACACAATTGCCCAATACGACTTTTAGGAGATCTCTCTCCTCTCCCCTCAGTGATGTAAGCCAGCATAGCTACTATAATGATCCTACAGTAGCTACGAGAGCACTGTGTTCTCGCAATGCTGGTTGCTGGTGGTGCCTGTTTGACTTTCAGTACATTGATGTCTCAGTGCAGCAGGGAGGAGGAAAGTCTGCTGAATGGAACTCTCCAGTAAAGGAAAGCAAAACCCTGTGCACAGAGTACTGTAAAACAAACCAGGAAGAAAGTTAAGCTGAGAAATTGCTTTCTTGCTACTTCTGTATTAGAGATTTGAATACACCCTTTAAAAGTTTCCCAGTGATGGAAGGCATCGACTTTCTGAAAGACACTTCTGCTACAGATTTTATATGCCTTTGGGATCATTTGTGATTTCTGATTTGGATACTTAGAAAATAAAATGCAGGACCTTGCATGCCGGTGAAATGCCTGAGCCTTCACCATGAGGTGAAACATCCAACAACTAACCAAGACATCCTCTGGTCTCGCTTTAGTTGTTACAGTGTACCAAGAGGAAGCTGCCATCCTTTCCAAGTCTTCCAATTAGGAGTGACACCCCCCTCCCGCCCCCCCCCGGAGTCATTAATGGTATCAATTTAACAGAGGAAACCCAGGAGCTTCTGAATTACTGTCGTTCACACAGATTTTGCACTTAAAGTCAGACATTTTAAAAAACACACACAAACACTGCACGAGTCAAGCTTTCTCTTGCATCCTTATCTCCCAACCCCTTCCCCTCTTCTCTCTTGTCCAGCAAGGCACTGGGAAATGGTTCAAGTTTAAGCATTTGCTGTACATTTACATTTAAAAAGGCACATCTTTATTTTAATGATGCTGTATTCCCCTTTCAGTAAGGCTCACATGTTCTTCTATTATGGTGTGGAAAAGAAAGTTAATTTCCCAGGCATGAAAAAAAGACACCTTGCACACCTAAGAGCCCCAAACCTATTACTCTGTTTGTAGGCCTTAGAGATTAGCACCAGTATAAATCAACAACAGCTTCAAAAGCAAATCAAAGTATTATTATGTGACATAACACACATCCAGGGATCCCCCTGTTGTCTGGGATTCTGATACTTAAAAGCATTAGAATTTATGCAGCCATGGAGAGAGGGGTGTTTGAATACTTCTGGGGAAAAAAATATGAAAACATTTATTTTGCATTAGATAATCACTGGTATTTAATCTCCAGTCTTAACTTGCATGCAGATGTGAAGATTTGCTTATGTATTCACGCTTTAGCAATTTTGCTTACAAATAACCAAAAGTAATTGGAATAATTAACCAGATTGCCCAGCAAAGGCTCAATTAAAGATGTAGATGACGAAATACAGCTTCTATTTCTCAATCAGTGGATGGTTGGCTATATTAAGTCTCCTCATTAGTCAGCAAAGCCTCTAGGGTATTGAAAAGTATAATTGATGTAAATAAATTAATAGCTCAAAGCCCAGCGAGCCAGTCAGAAGTGTACAGAATTTGTGAGGCACTTATCACACTCAGATCCCAAAACTTCAGAAAACAGATCAGATCAACCCTGACAAGGATGATCCAGTAGGACCACTCACACCAAAGCTCCAGTTTCCAGGTACTGGTGGTCGGTTGTCAAACAGGAATTGCCTCAACAATTACTTAATCTTTTGGTGCAAACTGCTAAGAGCTGTCCTTTCTCTCCACATTAAGATCACTAAGTGGTAAAAGACCCATTCATTACTGCAGTTCTCTCTGAAACAAGCATCCAGCAGCCAAGCAGCTAGGGCTCTCTTCACAAGGTGAGCCCAAGTACAAAGCAAGCCATGCATTTTAGAAACAGAAGCAAATCCTCTCATTAGAAAACTAAGACACACAAAGTTGCAAGCTGCAAGCAGAATGACCTACCATCCATTTATATAATTTGCTGATTGTGTCCCAATTTTAAAAAACTAGCACTGTTCATGGACAAACAGCTTCTTGTTCCACAGGTATTAAAACATTCATAAAGACATCTAGTCAGGCCATCTAGTGATCCACAGTCAGCACTACTAGACTAATGACAGCATTAATAACTTAAGGGAAGCAACAGTCAGACACAAAGCACTGGAAGGTGGTTCTGTCTCCCAGAGAAATGAAAAGGGATCCTAATGACAGACATATTGTAGTTACTGAGAACATAAGATACCAACTCTGTCTGATGCTGGGCTCACTTCCATAGCAATACTGCTGCAAAACAGTCACAAGGAAAGCCTAGAGCTTTTTTTCTTTCTTCTCTCCAAAAATGTTAGACACCAACACATTTGGCAAGCTCAGTCCCAGCTGTAATGCAGTGCCCGTGCTTCCCTTGCTTCGTGACTGCATGTACCAGGTTAAGTTGGCAGAAGAGGTCAGGCATGGCCTCAGCTGTGAGGACAAGAGAGGTGGCAATGACTTTGAGCCTCACAGTCAATACATCAGACTTAAGAGCTTGAGAGACAGATAGTTGTGTCCTAGTTTGGTCCCAGTTGATGGACACAGCAGTACATGGCCTCAAAGACATCTGAAACACGGGCAATGATCCTGCAATTGGCAACATCAGAAAAGGTTTCTTACTTCTGGAGCTCTGCAGAGGGAGCCAGCCTGCTTGTTTCTTGACACTAGGCAAAAATCTCCTTGCCTTCACATGACAGAAAGACACCCCAGAGCAGAGCTTCCCTGCCCCTCCAAGGAGGGGAAGTCCATTAATCGTACTTATCAAGAGTCCCAGAGGGTTGCCCCACTCCTACCCTGAGTGTTTCAGCCTTTCACTCCCAGAGCCGGCTGCACACTACCTATTCTTGCAACATTCCTGCATGGGCAGCTGGACAAACTGTGGAGCTGGGCAATTACTAGCAAAGGGCTAGTTTTATTGATTTACACAGCATCTTTGCAAAAAGTTAATTGCACCATCATTCACAGCTTTTACTAGAAAATGCCACTGCTGTCTTCAGTATAAGACTAAGTCAGCTGAACTAGTAAATCTGTTTTTGCAACAACTTCATTTTAAACCAGGGTGGTTTTTTTTTAAACACTTGCTTCAGACAGACTTGAAACCAATAGTCCTCTATTCATCCTTCAGTGTCAGTACTTTTTTCCAGCTCCTGGGATGAGACAGTTCTGGTTCACTGTCTGGCAGATCCTGCAGCCAAACCAGAAGGGTAATACCTTGCGGACTGCTAACTGACTACACAAGGGACAGGGTACCAGTGAAATGGGCCCATCAACCCCACATCTCTGCTTAAGCAAACAGATTTCCAGTCACAGTAAACTTTACAGTGCTGTGCGTGTTGGGAAAACAGGAGAGATTAACAGCACATTCCCACAAGCCTAGAACACTACTGACCACAGGACTCATGACTGCAACAAACTACAGACTGATGAACAAATGGATAAAGACCAATGGCTAATCTCAGCCCTGACTTAATTATCCTGAATTAATCTGCTCGCACCAACTGTGAATTAAGTTAGCCTTCAAACCTCTAAAGGAAAAATGGAAGTTGCATTCATGTAGTAGATTTAACTCTGAGAAACCCTAGAGGTGTCTGTGCTAAAAAGATTCTGAATAAGGGGCAAATTTTGAACCTGATATCCAAAGACTCTTAGCAAAAATCTTCACCTGTAAGAACTGTGCTTACTTAAAAACCCTCTGTTAATCTTTCACCTTGAAGATTCAACAGTGAGTGACAAACTGACTGCAAAGTGAATGGACCAGAAACCAGATTCCTCATCGCTAATAACTACGGCAATATTCCTAACACTTGGCTGCACCTCCACTAGAGCTCATTCCTTTATCAGAGCTATGATTTGGAAAGTAATAATACTCAACCTGTTTGAAATATATTTTGGTTTAGGGGAAAAAAAAATTCATTTCATTTTACATTTTGATGGCCTTTTTTCTTTCTTTTTTTTTTTTGATCACAGGATTAAATCTTGTGTTCAAGATTTTACTTATATGGACTTTGGAAGATAAAGCACCTATGTGGGAATGCTTCAGCGGGTAGTATAGCCACTACAAAAAGTCCTAGAGGGTCCTGGATAACAAAATCATTTAACACCAGACCCAGCTGGGAAATAAAACAAAACAAAGCAAAAAAAAAAAAAAAAGCAGTTTGAATCACATTCAGACTCCTCTAAAAACAGAGTTTCCGTTCAGTCTCAGCAAAGAAGTGGCTCTGGCAAAGCCTTTAAAATTCCACCATCCACAGAAGAGAAGGATGCAGCATCTTTGCAATAAAGATTGGCCTGCTAGTTAACCTTCTCCTGAGATTCTCCCTTTTACCTTCATTAACTGTTTAAAAAAAAGTATTCTTAAAAAAATTTTTTGCAACCCTCCCCAGTAAAAACTATAATTGTAAAATATATATATATATTTTCTCAGTCTTTTAAAGATCAAGATTTCTGTTAAATTTTTCCAAGACGGTTGAGTTTGTGTGTTCAAATATCCACTGCTGTGTTGGAGATGAAGGATTGCAGCTATTCATAAAGATCTTTCGGTCACTCTCACTGCAGTCCATACAGCTGCCACTTACTGGATGGTAGAGGGTCTTGTCCTGGAGAAGAGAAATTTGACGTGAGGTTGCTAAGCAGAGAAGCAAAGCTGTTTTGAAACCAGCAGAAAGAAGACTTAAAAACCAAGGCAAGCTATTCTGCCACTTGGATGCATCTGAAGAAGTTGTTCCACACTTAACTGGTTGGCAAGTGTCAGGGTCCACTCCCACCCCTTGCAATGGTATCCAGCCCAATCCTCACATCTGCACTGGGAAGCTCTAAAGCCATGCCTGAAGCCAGGTTCTCCAGCCTACAGGCTCACATCCTGCTGCAGTCACTCCACAGAACAGTGCATGCAGATTGCAAGGACTAGGATGGGACATTTAGTCAAGAAGTTACTCACAAAAATTTGCCCATAAAAGCATTGCTTAGTAGAAGGATGAATAAATCCTTATCTACTTTTGGCATGATCTTCTAGTATTCAGAACAAACCAATAAACACAGCACACCTCTTTGCAAACAGGTTTTGCAAGGGTGTTGCATCACCTCACTGCCAGCTGTGGAAAGACTGCAAGGAGAGTGTCCTTCTGCTTAGCAAGCCCTGTAGAAGCAGTCCTCACCACTTCTAACCAGTGGAACGAGGGAGTCACCTCTTTCTAATCAACGGTAATTAAGACACAATGACAACAGATTGTCTGCAGATTCTCTTATGATAGCTACATGAAGAGAAGGAATAAAACATGAGTGGTGACATTTTAAGGAAACTTAAGTGCCTACAGGCAATTTGACACACACTCACTTGTCGGTATCTCCAGAGCTGGTTCCCCTTCATTCCATGACAGTCATAGAGGGTCACAGGGCTGATGTGGGAAATGGCATCAAAACAAAACTTCTTGGTATGCTGAGGATCCCCGGGACGGATGTCTTCTCTCCAGCTGAATGTGAATACCTGCCAGGACAAACAAGACCCTCAGGATGGCTGGTACTGGGCATGGTGCTTTCACCAGAAGAACAACATTCCCTTCTTTGCCCACAGGGTGGGGATGGCTTCAGGGAAAGGACAATATCTTCTAAAGTAAAAGTACTTCCACCTCTGGGGACAGGGACTGCTAAATAGGGGAGTCTGTAACAGCTACCCCGCCGACTACCACACATTATGCTAAATGAGACTGTGCTGCTGCAAACAGCCATGCTAGTTAGCTTGGGTACTAATAGCAGCCTTGAATGTCTCTGCAATGCAGGCATACATCATGGATTAAGTGAGCAGCTGACCAATTACAGCACTTCACAGCTAGCAAAAAAGGCAGAGAGCTACAGGAGCTCTGAGTTAACGTTAGCAGTAAACACCCGAGCCTGCACAGGCAGTCTGCAGTCACCTTGAGAAGAGTCTGTCCCACGCCTCCTGGGACAAGAGGGCAGGAGCCCACAGCTCCCCACCCCACTCCACAGGAGTGTCGGAAGGGCAAACACTAGGGCAATGCTTCCTGGCGCTCTCTTCTACTGACCCTGCAATGATCTCTCAGCTCTTTCGGGTGAAACTAAAGGAGGGATACTACAGAGGAGAAAGGGGTTTAGCTCTAGTAACCAGGCTCAACCTATGCCTGGCAATGCTGTGGCCCTGACAAAAGCTGCTGGCTGCCAGCACATGTAGCCTGGAAATCCCTGAGCCACAGGGTTGGACCATGGGCAAAGAGTCAGTGGAAGTAACACCACATACATCTCTGCTCCTTGCCCTGCCCCCTTGGCATTTGCTTTTGGCCACGGCTTGAGACAGTAGCGTGGTCAAGCTGCATCTTCAATCTGATGATCATGGCTTGACTTATGACGTGTTTTAGCATTGTAGGACTGAATCCCACAAAAGATAAACTTGTCTAAAAGGCAGGCACTGGTGTCAAATCAGAAAGCAAAAGCTTGACAAGGACAGCATCTCTGGCAAGGGTGCAAGTGTTCCTCTGTGACCACCACTAGGCAACGTGGTTCTGCAGGGCTACCAGCCAGCACACCTCTCAGCCCCCAGGGGGAAGGGCTGTTCTGGGGGCTCCTTTTGGAGCCAGGTGGAAGACTGGTCCTCCCTTCAGAGAGATCTCATGGCGCAGTAAGAAAGATGAGTAATGAGCAGGGTGCTACTATTTGAAGCAGCGTGGCCAAAAACTTTTGCACAAAAAACCTACTTTGTTTCTGTCTCTCTTTTAAACCTCTCTTGGGAGAGAAATTAGAACAATCATTTAGGCTCAATACTACACAGAAGTTCAAAACACATTATCCTCCTAAACATAAGCCAACACTAATTGTTCAGGATCCTCCTGACACAACAGAAGCTTAGTTTTGGACTGTGCCTGAGTAAATTGGTTTTGTTTCTAGTTTTCATGCATCAAAATTGATATGCAACAACCCTGTCTCCTACTACTGAAGCCATTCCCCCGAAGAGTTATGCATGGCTCTGTAATAGAGGCATTGTTTTCTTGATCTTTTCTCAGCTCAGCTGCTACAGTTTAGACAAACTAATATTTCCCTCCCTTCTGTGACAATAAAGCTGTCATTTCTGGCACCTTATATGTTGAGAGGGTGAATCTATAGCCTGGCCAGTTTCATCTCTCTCCAGCAATGGTTGGGTGTTTATAATGCATTTGCCTCCTGTCAGAAGGATGATAGTAAGCGGTTATTGAATGCTCCTGCAGGTTCATTAATATGCATGATGCTCCTCTATCACTTCTTTCAGTACAACCTTTGAAGTTAATATTCACTTTGTTACATATCACAGCTGCCTTGTTACTGGTTTATTATTTTGGCATATTGTTTTCTTGTGCTTTCTTTTGTTCACTCTGAGAACTTCAAAGCAGAGGTAAAAGCTCTGCACAAAGTCTACTAGGCTCCAGACCCTGCCACAAGCACAAGCCACATCCTGCTACAAGCCCATCATGTATAATCAGCACTTGAGCCTTGGGGTGCACAGCTCCTTCTGTTTACCTGACAGAGTTCTGCAATGGCCTTCCTTCTCAAACATTTGTTTTTACAACTTCTCCCTCCCCAAATTTATTTAGGGGCTGATGATTTATCAGAGGGCATGTTACCTGCACGTTGTTCCACGCTGCCTCTCCTCTGTCCTTCACACAGTTTTCCAGCCTCAGTGGGGATCCCAGGGCTCCATGCTTAGTATCCACACACAGTCCAGTTCCTACATTGCGTATCTGAAATAGTAAATTAGTCACTGAATCTCCTACTCTTATCAAGTGACAGGAAAGAAGGCTTAAATTGCCTCAAATAGTGGCAGTATTTGCATGAAGACAGCAGTTTTAAGATTCCTCACTTAACTATGTATCTGAGCTGGCAGATAACAGCTAGAAGAAAGCACAGGAACTCAAAATGGGACCCATTGCCAGCTGTACAATAACATCCAGGACACAGCAAAACCCAATAGCTACAGGACTGCAGAGCCCACTATGTTGTTGTGTGTAACAATCCATGACTTCACTCCTAGGTTGATTCTTTTCCCAGAACACAGCTGACTTTCAAAAACAGGGATGGTTTTCCTGGCTTTCAGATGAGAAAGCTAAGGAACAGAGTAGCTCAACACAGTTGTGTAGCCTTTTGGAAATACAAAATTTCTACTATTGCTCAGCTGCTGTCTCTCCCTAGTCCTCCCTGTTGGCATGTTCTGCCTTTGACTAAATACGCAACATGCAGAACAAGCCAAGTCTCTATTCTCTTTGTAGCTGTGCATTAGTAGAAATGGCTGCCTAACTGACTTCTTTGATCAGGCCAATATAATGGTAGAGAAGTTCTGGTCTTTGAAATATATTAAGCAGGATCCTTAAACACTCGCTTGCTACCTTACTCACAGCAAACTGGTACTGGAGCACGTGGGTAAGACAACTTTAAAAAAAAACAAACCACAGCCTGTTTGCCCACTGCAGGTTCCAGAGTACAAACTTGCCTCTCCCCAGGCAGCTGCTGGAGGTTCCACTGGTGGGTAAAACTTTGGCAAGTCCCACGCAACCTCATTCATGAACCACTTGAAGCTTTTGCAGTTGAGGTTGTTGCGAAGTTCCTTCTGAGCTGCGACATCCCCTGCAGAAAGATGCCGGTACTCTGGTCTACGCTGGTATATGTACTCTGCATATTCGTCCATCCACACCTCAGCCACCCGCTTCAAGTTCTGTGTGGGTAACAGCCATGTGTGAAAATGAGAGGGAAAAACACCTGAGAACACTCTGCACAAACTACTGACATTAGCATTCAGAACAGCTCTTGTGTTTTTGCTCAGAAAGGATTTTCATTCACATCCACTCTTTCTCTCCACCTTCAGGACGAAGATTATTTTTATCATTTTCTAGTTCCAAGGGACTTTTAGAAAGATATTTTCAGCTGAGGTCAAAACAGAATCCTGGCACTTGGCCATTATATCTCGTTCCTTGTGGCTAAGAAAAACAACATTAATCAAAAGTTAGGTTTTTTTTCTTTTCCTTTTTTTCCTGTAAAGACGCTAGTCAGAAAATGATGGTGGTAAATACCACTGGACATTCAAAGGTCCCTGACAAAAAGCTGCTTTCTTAAATCCTTCTTATTGCATCTTTTATATCCATCTAGGAATGGGATTTGCAGTACTCCCTTCTGGAAAGCTTCAGTTCACAATATTCTTTCTTTCCACTCTTTTTCTGTTTTCTTGGGTAAAAAGCTGTTTAAGAGAAACTCTGAAATACGACAGGAATATGGAACTTTCAAGGTGATGACCCTTCAGAATAGAAGCAAAGGGTTTACTTGCTGGCAGCAGTATATTTCACATATCGCTGTAAAGCTTAATCTACTGTGTAATTCCAAAACAGCAGTGAACACCACCCTCTCGAGATACCCGCCCTACTTCTTCTCACAACACATTCAAGAGACCATTGGACCTTGGACTGTTCTCTGGCAACTTCAGGTACATTCTTGGTGCCACACAGTAACATGCCATATGCAGTCATGACTTCAGCAACCCAACAGCACGGCCCACCATGCATGAAGGTGGTCAGTCCAGCAGTGGTCATTTACTACCAAAAGAATTCAGACGTTAAGAATGATCAGCGTGCTGACCTTGCCCTAAATGTAGCCTACGCGCAACAAGAGCAGGTGTTCACCTCAAGGTGACTGTATGATCTTAGATGCCAAGAAACAGCCTTCCCTACACCTGTCTGCCATCTCCTTCCAGCACTGTGGGAGTATGCAAGAGCAAAATACTGAATCAAAAGAAATATAGCTCCTTCTTGAAGAGATGGCACAGACAGGAGAGCACTCTATCGCTCTGACAGGTCATTGCTGGGCTGAGTAATAAATCCAAATCTATAACTAGGGTGATGCTATTAAACTGGGAAACACTTTAACACTGTGCAAGCCATAAGACTGCAGAACAGCAGGGTAACTTTTTGCATTTTTTAGTTTTGCAGCCTTCCTGCTCCTATTTTTTTTCTCCCACCAGAGGGCAATGCAATCCCTTCTCAATTTGGAAATTAACTCGAGAAGCGTAGTGCATGATAGGCAAAAGCTCTTCCCTCTTTGGGCTACACTAGATTAAGAAATAAGATGGCACAGAACGTTCCATTGTGGAAAACTACAGCTTGCTCATTCGGTGGTCTGTGATGCTTGAAGTTGAGAGGTCTTTCAATCACCAAAACAAAATCACCACACCGAAGCGTGCTGATTTTGGAAAGCACAGCTATAAAACGACTGAAGTACTACACAAATAAAGCCATATCTTGTTTTTATTGGTGATTCCATAGCCAGTGCCTGATCGCAAAGTCCCTTTCCAACACCTAGCAATGGCTGATGTCTGGAGCATGGCAGCTGTCTGCACCTGAGTCTGCAGCTCCCCTAGGCTCTCTTCCCTTGTGCTACGCATCCACCACTGCAAAACTGCCCAATTTGACCACTGTACGAGTACAATTTATGGACTACAAAGCCTACGTTTGCCTCCTATTGTGGGCAACAGTGTGGTCACATTGCAGTCAGACATCCATCACGGGGAATGCCATTGCCACTTACTCTTGCCAGGCTGACTCCTGTTGGAACCTTGTATGGAACATACTTTCTGTAGATATGACCAACTCTAGAGCAAGGGATGTCCTCCATGCGCCCCCCACACATCCATACCTGTGGAACAGCAGAGATACAGATTGACTCTTGGTTATATGGAGAAAAATGAAGACAACAAAAAAAAAGACTTTCAAGTAATGAAAAAGCTTAACCCAGATTTTTTACTTTATAGTTCACTCTCTCCCAAATATCCTCCCCTCCTTGCCTTAGTCTCAAATCCTATAACTACCGCTTAGAGCCATGCAGCAAGCCTTGATTTAGCACAAGTGCTATCAAGCCCAATGGCTAAACAGTTCAATTTTGCATTCTTTAGAGAAAAGAACAGAAAAAAAATCCAAGCACCCAGAGAACAGCACACAGCACACTTGAAATTGATACAAGTTATTACAGCAATAGTAACCACAATAGTTAAACCGGACTGCTGTATATAAGACCTGGGTTTACACTGCTGTAAAAGGGAGGCTGTCTCTATAGTACAGGTCATGTGTTACACAAAACACTCCAGGGAATTCATGAGCCTGTTCAAGTGCCAGAAACCAGAAGAAACTGCTACTTTTTCCTGTGGTTATCACTGCTCTCATATGGTTTCATTGCTGACATGCACTCATTGCTTTTGCAGCCTTACAATTAAGTAGAAATCCCTGCCTGGTGAAAACATAATTAGCTTTAAAAAAGCCCTCAGAAAGTCACTGGAACACACTGCTAGTTGAAGATGACTACCTTGATGCTTGGTTAATGTCTAGATTAGGCCCAGAAGTTTCTTTCCACATCTGGGAAGATTTCACTCTATGCCAACACTCTGCAACAACTTACTTTTATTCCTTATTTATAGCACGGATGTAATCATTTTGTCCAAGTGAAACCAAAGGAGATGTTTTCTGAATCAGCCAATCTACTTCATTAGGTTTAAGAAATATATTCATACGTGCTTCCCAGAGATATCTAATCAATACTTAAAGAAAAAGTATCCTTCAGTATGCAAAACAAATGACTTTCTGAATTCTTGAAGCACGACACTGTCTTGCCCTTCATTTTGCCCCCAGATCTTATGTTAATGCCCTGCAGGCAGCAGTATTTAAGAAGGTCTGCTGGTGCTGCAGGCTGATGCGGTGTTCTTGATCCCTCCATTCACTGTGGCTAATTTGAGCCACCGCAGTTCACTGTACAATGAGCTTAGTCAACAGCTTCACACATAGCAGGCAGTTCCATTAATATTCTACAGTGACAATATTAAATACTTAGCTCGGAAGAGAAATATTTGGCCAAGGCTGCTGCATAATTATTAGCTCTGACACTAAAGTCCTCTGGAGTTTCAGCTCTGTCTACTGGCCCTAATAATTACAGTCATTTGCTGACTGCGTATAACTTAATGGAGGTTGGTTGCTCTCAGTTAGAGGAATATTTTTCACAGGCAACTTCTAAAGTTCAAGGTACTTAATTACATGTCGTTATGGTGAGAGACACAAGAAGGAGTGTTTGTCAACTTTCTACAGAATTTCATTCCTTTTGTGCCTGCTGTGTCTTGAGAGTCTGGTACAGGAGAGATGAAGATGAAAAAAGAAACTAGTGCTCAGCTTCTGTGAAGTTTCTAGTGAAATTAGAAATGCTTCTTATTCTGTAGCTGCTGTGCTTTTTGCTGCAGAGGACCACAGTGTGATTTCTCTACTAGGAAATTAACAGGTAGATTGAGAAAACAAGAATTTGGGGATGTTTTGTGTTTCTATGACAGAAACAGCTTGTGCAAGGCTGTAAGAGCTGCAACAGATCTGGGAACTATAAAGAACTGCAGGAACCGCTGAAGAAGCCTAGGGCTCAGTTGCACAGACACAGACTCCTCAACAACCCGTATTCTTACCTTGTGCACTGCACCCTGCATCACGAAAGCCCTGTTGGTTCACAAGCAGCTGCATTTTAGTGTAACACAAGCCTGAATGAAAACACCAGCTTGTTATCCTTGCTGCCTGCCCACAGGATGCCTCACCTGCCCCTGGTCTCTAAGGAAAGGCTTTCAGTCAGGCCACCGTGAATACACATCTCCTCTAAAAACATGACTTCCCCAAGGAACGGGAGAAACAGACCCCTGCAGTAAATATGCAGCTAGAGAGGGGAGCACTGTCCTTTTAAGATCTTGTGAAGCAGTGATACAGACAGCATTTATCTACTGACTGGTACATCGGAGAGGCAGGGGGTATAGTAAGGTAGACAGAACTGATAATATGTGGGGCCAAGAGCTCCAAGCTGGTACAAGACTCCAGGCACAGAAGACAACATTACATAAACACATGTAACGATACGATAAGAAAAGCTACTTAACTAAGTTATGGAACAAGTAAAATCTAAGATCAGTTTTACGTGCTCTTTTGCTAATCATGCTTTAAAATATTTACTCCCAAATGATGCTGCAGTTACCAGTGCTGCCTGGAAGCAATGGAAAGCTTCCTAATTCCTGCTAGCAAAGCTCAGTGACCCTTTCAAGGTACTCTGCTAACTCAGTGCCTTTTTAACATTGTCTTATGCTGCAAGTGACAGTATTGCACTTGCAGTACAAATCTAATTTTAAAAGCATGCTTTCCACTCATTCATTGCTGCTTTGATTTATTTTATTAGTGAGCTTCTTTGTGTGGTGACAGAACTCATTACAACCTCCATAAAGACAATTACCAGTCCTTATCTATAAAACTGGAAGACGGGGGAGAGGGAAAGAGCGTGACATGCATTGGTAAAACACAGCTAACAAAAGCATTAGAAAGCTAGAGTTAAAGGTCAGGGGAATCACATTCAAGGGTCTGTCAAGGAATAACTGCAAGTGAAGCAAACCCAAAATAGCTGAGGGAAGGCTTCCACTTGGTTAGCGATATTTGGTTGTTTTTAAACAAGGGTACAGTTCACAGGCATGACACACCACTGCTAAAAATACAGCACTGTCAAACAGCTGAAACACCGCTGTTCTGTGGGGCAGCCCCTTGTGCCATCACGGTAACAGTGACTGTCACTCACTGTGTTCTTAGGCCAGGGGAGCCAGTTTCTTCTTCTTGATGTTTTACAGAAGGGTGAGATGGTGCCTCATCTCCCTGGCTGACACGACAGTAAACATTGGAGCCTGAACTTGATGCACTCAACTTCAATCAGCCATTTACTAGAATGCCATAAGAACAAGAATTAAGGCTGGTCAGGAAGGTAGTGCTTTATACAATGATCTAATCAGATCTCATTAGAAGGGAACAGGAAATTTCTCTTCCTCCTCAGGCACAATTTTACCAATCTAGACTTTGAGCTAGGAATCTAGCAGCTGACAGATCTGCTAGAATTAAGAGAAAATCTGGCTACACTGAGGTCAATGGGCATACTGCAACAGATTCTTCTAAGGCCACAATCTCATCCTAATAATAAAACCATATACAAGGGAAGTAAAATAACAACATTTATGATATTACTCCCATCTCGTAGTGGCCTGGAGAGCTGTAACTCCATATTCATAAAGCAACTCAAGAGCCTTTGACTCAGCTAGTGTGCTATGAAAGCACAAGATAATATGCCACCTATTCTCTACATGGGAATGTTATGCTGATACGATTCCCCTTCTGCTATTTCAGAAAACAATGTCACGTAAGATAGCTGAACCTCTCCTCTCAAACACACCATACAATACTGCAGTTGGTGTGTGAACACAAATTATCTGGGTATACAAGGTTTATAGTTTCCAGAGACTGCACCACGATGAGCTGATGCTTCCCAAGAGAGGGGAAAAAACACAAAGGAGAGAGTCAAGCCTTGAAAAGAAAGCTGCTTCTGCAAGCCACAACAGAAATAAAGACCACGCGATGGACTAATGGAGAGAAGCTGGCTGGTTGTCTGAGCACACACTGAAAGGTGGGAAGAAAAGAACAGAGTAGATAAGTCAAGGGGGTTCTCTGCATAACAAGGTAGGTGAGACAATGAAAGCAAGGGCAACCAATAATTCAGGAAAATTGTAATCCTCTGTATTGTAAGCATCAGCTGCTCTTGCAGCTGGGACTTACTGCTCTATAAAAGATTAAGGTAGCTCAAAAGGCACTGGGATCTATGTGTTTGCACAACGCCTTCTCTCACACAACATACACCAGCATGGCCCCTCCTTACCGTCTGGAGCATTTTTAGAGTAATGACAGCACTTTCGAATAATCACATTTCAGAGAGTGGTGGGCTCCACTTTCCTACTGCTGCTTGGTGGGAGGCTACTCTGGAACCTGAACCAAGCACATAGGATGAACAGAGGCCAAAAATTCAAGTCAATGGTCTGAAACTGATCTCTGCATCACCAGATAGGAAGGGAGAAAGAAGCCACCCTGTACTGCAGCTGAGCGCCTTAGAATTAAGCAGCATGTGCTGGCTTAAAAAAAAATCCCCCACAAAAAAAAGCAGCAGAATGCCCGGCCTGTTTCAGTGTGGGCAAACGTGAGCTGCTGGAAAGTGGTGTGACTATGTGCCTGGAATAAGCAGTGGAGGATCACAATCAGCACTAATTTCAGCGATACAACTAGAAATGCTGTCAGAAGTGATCCCTTGGCAGCTGCACCCTAACTACGCACCTGCCAGGAGGCCAGTGGCAAAATGTGAATCAGAAATGTGCTGCTGACATGGGGCAAAGGAGATGCATGCATTAGATATGCAAACAGAAGCTACGGAGCACTTGGATTTGTTGGAAAGCATGCAACGTGTTTTATGCTATGGAGAGGCAATCCATGTTCATGCTTTGGGAAAAGGATCTGGAAAAATGCAGTGATGTATGATCACCAGAATAAGTACAGTGGATGTTTCCAATTGCTGAAGCAACGAGTGAAGACCATGAGTATTACCCATCTCTTTTGCCTCCCCCTTAATTGTTCTTTTCAGGGAAACTGTCGATATGGCTTGTTTGCACCAAGCCCTTTGAATTTTATGAAGGCTTTGCAATCTCTAAATTACAAGACAAACATTTCTAAAACTGAACTGATCTATCACCTAGTGAGGGACATATGGGATTCTCCTTCTTTGTTCTTGAAGTACAATGTACAATCAAAGGATTGAGAACCGCACCACTAAAGATCTGAGGTACCAAGTACCTCTATATTTATGCCTATACAAGTCAGAGACATCGTGTTTTTCCTCTTCTGTTTCCCCATACCCAAAAAATCAGAGACTATATATTTATGGAAGAAAGGCGTGAAGCAGTTTAGTGAAGGTTATGTAAGCTGAACAGAACAGAAGCCACAAAAATATTGGAAAAGAGGCAACATGATTGCAAATAAAAGTGAGCATAGATAAGTGCTGTACAAAGTAGCATTTGCAGAAAGGAACAGTTTCAATGCTTCATATATACCATCCGAATTAGATACATTAATCTCAAAGAAAACGAAGTGGTTACCTAGGCAGCAGAATTTAGGTATTTGTTGAGTATGCAGGAGCATTCAGAAAATCAGAGCTATTAAGTTGTGTTTAGAAGAGGAAAGACACATTGTCACTTTGGGTAAAGTATTCAGTTTTGTTCACATCATTGCAGAAAGACACAAAAGACCAGGGAAAACTGTAAGAGAGAAGTATGGAAGTGACTCCCCCCCCCCCCCCCCCCCCCCCAAAAAAAAAAAAAGAAACCAAAGCTGTAATAACTACAGAGTTAGGGGCAGCAGAAAGGAAAGCTAACAAGTGCCACACAGAAATAGCTGTGCATGCTTGTTCACCCTTTCTTCAAAATACAAGAATGTACTCAAAGGTCAGCATCTGGTAATCCACTGAGATGGAGGAGAATGGGTCTTACACCACACAGATCTGCAGAGCAGTTCACCTGGAGCATTCTGCAAGCACAGTTCATGAAAAAATGAGGCTCATTTGAACGAGTGTAATGCCTGCAACTAAAATTCAAGACTGCAATCTTCCTGTTGCATCTGATGATGACTTGAAAGAAGATGACCCCTGACTTGTAGAAGTACTGGATTATCAGCACTGAGCTATTCTGGATATACACAGGTCAAGGGAGGGAAGAATCACGTGTTTTCTGCTTGAATATGGAACAGATAGATCAACTCTTTCATTTCTAATCTAGAAATTTGTGTTTTAAGGGACTGAGAAGACCCAGAAAACTAGAAATCAGCAGTTAGTGTTAGAAAGTTTGTTTCTAATTTAAAGTTCACCTAAAGTTTTTTTTTCCCTCCAATATGCTATGTTTTCTAGTGATGTTTGGTGTACACATTTCATACAAGGAGCAAAGCTTCTATTAATAGAGGTTGATCCATCCTCTGGCTAAATGTCTTCTGAGGTGCTAAACACTGATGGTTTCTCTGTTGGCTTGCCTTCAACCTGGAAGTTTCTTCTCAGAAGGAAGTAGAGCCAGCTGATGACAGAAATATATGAGCTCAAAACAGAAAGGCAAGAAGCTCCTAAATAAACTTGTTTATTGCTAGTCTCTCAGCAACAGAGGCCTGGATTTTAAAATAAAGGCAAAAAAATGTAAAGCACAGTCCATACATGGCCAAAAAAATTATGCTTAAGGAAAAAAAAAACCCAACAAGCAAACAAAAAAACTACTCCTGGTGCGGCTCGAGAAGGCCAGATCTGATGCAATGGATCAAAGATCAGCAGTACAAAAGAGTACCTGCACCCACAACTCCCAGGCACAGGAACGGATTCTTTGTCAAAGTCGGGCTGTAAGTTTGGCACACTTAGAATCTGAATTCCCATTAGATAATAAGTAATGTGAAAGCAGGTACCACACATCTAAACACAGGGCTTTAAATTATTTGGTAGTGCCCCTTTAACTACAAAATCTCAGTCTGCTTCTAAAGGTAAAAACGTAGCTCTAAGCTCGCCAGGAAATGTCATAGCTTCATAAATTCTATGAACAAACCTTCTTTTCTTGCAATTCCAGCAGAATTATTAAATCTATCAGCCACAGATGAATGTATCAATTTATCTTAATTTCTGAAAATACACTGAGCCTCTTTCAGTTAAAACTTCATTTTTCTGTTGCATGATGAAAGAAAAAAGGGGGTCTTTGCAGAGATTAATTAAAGCAAATTTATCCCTCCATAAATTGCTATCTCTGGACTGAAATAAAACACAGCGTGTTTCAGAGAGGATAAGCAAACAGATGAATGAAGTAGTCTTATTTCCTGCAGATCAAGCAGTATGACTGTCTGCTGTGGCATTAGAGACAAAGGGCTTGCCCAGCCACTGTCATCACTCTTGGAAACGAGCATTTTCAAAAAGGGCCAAGGAAAAGAGGCTGAATACTGCCACTGCCCCTCCAGCAGAGAATGACATTGTTACACAATTTCATTACATGCAACACAAAGAATAAATGGCTCTAATTGTAATGACATCTCCGAAGTGGGTGTCCCCGCCCCTTCCTTCCTGCTACCATTACAGAGGACAAGGGACCTCCAGTGTGACTTTATTATTTAGGGTTTTTTGTAAGCAAATAATGGAAGAAAATACATTGTCTTGAAAACAACATATTTTCTTCCATTGTTTGCTGTACAGTAGTACATGGTGTGTATGTACGGTAATACGGCCTGCTGAATATAGTTTGATATGCCTTTGAATTTTATAGAGGCTTTGAGATTTAGAAATCTGTTTTGTAAGAGATCAGCCATGACTTGTTTGCCAGGGGAGACACGAGGAATTTTAGCTGCTGAAGCTAAACTGTGCACTACATTAGCACTGCTGCCATCTTCTAGCCCCGTGCTGATGTTAACTAGCTTCGTCAGTGGCATCCAGACACCTATAAGATTATACATTCAAACTCTGAAAGAGAAACCACATGGTGGCCCACTGTTTAATGTAGAAATCTTTACTTAATTCCCTCCAGGCTATGGAAAGGATTCTTGCCGCTGAAGAGAAGACCAGCCACCTGTCTTCAGTGGTCTAGGACATTCCAGTGGGTTTCCTAGAATGGATTTCAGAGTGTCATATTCCAAGATAACACAGGTACTAGTGGTCTTTGTGGGTCACAGTGACTTGTTACTATTAGTACCATTTTTGGTCAGCTGGCTAACTCTTATTTTAAAGCCCTCAACTGAACAACTTGGTCAATCAGTAACAGAATTGTCCCCATGCCAGGCAAATAATGATCTGAAGTCACTGCCAGCATTGCCAGCATATTCCAACTGTCGAGGACTTCTTACAGGGCAATTAATAGTCTCAGTTCCTTGCAGCCAGGAGTCAGATGGATTGACTATAGACAGTTAAGTTACACTCATCTCTGGGAACTCAAGCTCAGGACTAAGGTACTCAACTGGGCAAACCCTGAGCTGCCTGAATCCTTCTTCCCTCAAGAAGGAGAATATTTCATCATCTTGCCAGGGTGAGTACTGAGAAGCCTAACACTCAGAGAGCTCCACACAAGCTGACTTACCCTTGCTGGGAACAGCGCATGCAATCTGACGCTGTGACCACAGAACAGGGGCACCCCAGCTAATCACGCTCCAAAACTGACCCTCACAAATGGCTGCTCACAGCATCGCTGTTTCTTCTGTGTACTATCTTACTGCTCCCAGCTCTTTCACCTTCAGTCACACGCAAAAGCAAGGACAAGACAGATCATTCTCATTCTGCACCTCAGAACAATTCTTACTTTTCAAAACAATAGTAATTTCCAGAGAATGTAGCTCACCTTAAAGGATATTTCATACTGCTCTCCTCCCCATATCTCCAGACCTGCATCATACCCTCCCAGCTCCCAGAACCACTTTCTATCGACTGCAAACAGTCCTCCAGCCATTACAGGAGACCTTAAGGAAAAACCAGACTCCATATTACAAACACATTCAAAGATACAGATCTCTAGCTAAACATTTAAAAAACAAAGCAAGATTTAACAAATATTCTTTCCATCACCCAGTGTTCCCGGTGCCTTTGCAACCCTGTCGGAGCATCAAATGGTTGTTTTTGCATTATCTACTGATTTCCCACTTGCAAATGAGGAGGACCAGACTAGGATCCCTTCAGAACCAGTCAATGCCTCTCCTCCAAACAGGCAAAAGAGTTCACCATTAAATGACAGGCCATAACCTCTCCCAGAGGGACCCATATGCTGCACATGTGGTGCTCCATCTCAGTAGTACGATCAAGTCATTGAGCTTGACCTCAAAAAGTGTTCTGTTGGGGTTTTTTTTAAACACTGCAGAAGTATGAAGGACAGCATAACTGTCTCAATGTTGGCAAGCACAGCAAGAGCAGAACATAACTTGATCTCAGATTTACTTCTGCAATGCACTGCAATCATCAAAATTGCTGTAATTATTCTGCTAGGTTTTCTTCTTCCCCCACCTGGGAATGACATATAAGCCGCCATTGGTTTGTTGTTTTTGGCAGAGCATTAGGGATACTAAGTTATGTTTGAAAGATCTCAGTAATAAATGACCACATTAAATGTTACACATTACAGTTTTAAATGAAATGTTAACTTCTGCGGGAATTAAGGTGGCAAAAAATAGCAATGAAAAGGAGAGCATTCACAGCTACTACACAATGCATTTCTTTTAAACCAACAAAGCAAACAGCTGCCAAAAAGCAAGTAGCTTAACACCAGCTTCTGACTTTTACTACACTGAGGTGTAAGCCAACCCTGTAACAGGGTTTTATTTTGTTAGCCAGCTCTTAGCGCACTGCATTTTGGTAACTTACTCAAAGGGATCACTGGGATCAAGTTTCTGTAACTCAGGAGGAATAGGGATCCTCTTGTAATACATCTCCCAGTCAAATGCACCTCGCATTGCGTCTCCAGCCTGAGTCTCATATCCAAAGTGGTCATGATCAATAACATCAATCATAGGGCAAACGATAGTCTTGCGGTTTCGGGCAATGCGATCTGAAGATTGGAGAAACATGTTAGAAAACCTGCACCAGTCGGCTCCTTTGACCATGAAATTACAGAAAAGAGCATCAAAATATGTAGTTGTCCAAGAACGACATAGCTTCCTGTTCATTCTCTTTTGGGCAGATGCTCCAATTTATATCAATTTATCACATTTTTCTGCAATAATTGAGATATTCAAACTAGAACTTGAGATTAAAAACACCAGACATGCCACAGCGACCATCACCCAGAAGCAGAATAGAAAGACACAGCCACACTACCACAGATACCTAAACCACCAGGCTAAAAACAGAGAATCCTGTACTTAGTGAACAGTCCTCATTTTAACGAGCAACCGGGATATGAACCCTTTCTGCACTGACTCAAAGCCAGGGCAATAACCCATCATACCACCTAGCTTTAATTACTATGCCAGAATCTGGCAGGAAGCAATTCAGACTAATGGCATAACTACTCTCAGCAGGCTTAAGAAATGCAAGTGTACCTCCTCCCCTCAACATTTTCTTTCAACCAAATAATACAAGACAGGATTAATTCCTGCATAAACATCTGGAACTTCTTAAATACTTTATTACTGAGACAGTCTCTTGTTGGAAGTTAACTTTCAGAACAGAGGCGACAAACGATGTTTCAGCTTCCAGTGCACGCTTAACAGAAATCCTTTCTATGCTTTAAAATTAAAGCATACTCTACGTGTTCTCATTTAAATGGCAATTGAGCTAATTCTGTCCTCCCTCCCCAGGGCTCATGAAGCTGCAAATGTTTTACACTATTAACAGATACAAACTGTAGTGAAAGCAACAGTATAACCATCCAACAATCCTGCTGACATACCTGACTAGTTTTTCCTTAAATCTCCACTTGACTATTGTTGCCACAATTTATTTGACAAAGTCACACCTCAGAGAGAGCTTTGACAGGTCACTTGCAATAGGGTTGTAAAGGATTTTGGTAGTGGCCAGAGGCACACAGGTACCAGAAACAGAAGGGACTGCCCTTTCAATTAGTCATCCTTGAAAAGAACTGACATTGTAAAACTGATACCTCCTTAAAGACGAAGCACTCACTGCCTTAGAAAGGACTGCACATGTTCTACAAATACATACCAGCAGCTGTCATTCACAAGAATTATTTTCCACAGGCTTGCAGACTATGAACTTAAATATTGTTATATAGGAGGAAAAAACCCCCTAAAAGCTACTTAAAAATTGCACGTAAAGATCTTTTCTGTATCATAAAGCCATTCCTCTCTGCAAGCTGCTGAATGACCATGTGATAGTTTACTCTTCTAGCAAGCTGTAAATTATTTAAGATTTCATTTAGTGAGGAAACAGAAGAATATGATCTCTGCTCTTTAATTAAACAAAACATATAATAATGTTATTGTACAGTGCAGGACTCTAGAACAGAATAAAATTCTTGTATTAAAGGCTACAAGTTGCCAACAATTCACCCGAGTCTTGTGGTTGGTTGGGTTTTTTGTTTGTTTGTTCTCCCTTTTAAGACATTTCATGTTCCTTTTGTCCACTTACAGCATGAGGGGAAAGCAGCACGTGGAAATAAACCAAATTCAACACCAACATCTGTTGCCAGCTCTTTAGCAGTTCAGTCTTCAGCCATGTACAGCACTACATGCTTACCTAGCAGAGGTGGCAGCCAGTTTACATTGGCCTCGCAATGGGAATCCAAGAAGGTGATGACGTCCCCTATTGCCATGGAGGCCCCCAACATTCGAGTTCTTATCAGCCCTTCTCTCTTTTTGGTTCGGAGGATTCTTACATTTGGGAACTGGGCCATATAATCTTCCAGGCGTTTCTTCAGGTGTTCTGTATGAAAATGAGAAATTTAAACACTGTAACAACTAATTTCTTAAAAATGCAGTTCCTTCTTTACCAGAAGATGTCTTTGGAAGTGTGTCCTGAACAGTTAACAAATGCAATAACAGGAAAAAGGAAATAAGAATAATTTCTTTTAAATTCAGGTTTTAAACATAACTGTTTAACCAAGACCTCTGAAGATGTTCCAAAACCTTAGAAGCAAGTAAAAAACAAAAAAAAAAAAAAAGAGAAACTAGGATAAGATGGAGGAGTGCAGGGTGAGAAAGAAAGCAGCGGAGAAAATGGAAAATGAATAAAAAGCCAGCTGGCAGACCCCTGGGAGAACTTTATCAGAGCAGGAACTCTTGGACACTTTTGTGGAAAACCGATGTAGCTTAGAAGAGACACAGGACAATTTACTTTCAGAAATAAACTGCACTCAGTGCATTGAAGTTGCGTTTGGTTTCTTCAAAACACACAACATGACCATCCACTCATGCGTAAATAAAAACCAGCAAAAAGCCTAGTCAGACATCCCTCCAAGCCAGCAAGGCAGGCATAGCTGCTGTATATATTTGGATGGCTATATTAAATGCTTATCAGAGGAGATATTTCCATTTAAATATAGAAATATTTATGCTACTGAATATGGATTGGAGCCACATCTGAATTAGCACAGGCACTTGTAGTCACCACAATTAACAAGAATTCAAACAGGAGAGCTGCAGAAAAAGATTACTGAGTGATCAAAACAATGGACAGCTTGTTTAGATGTTGAAATAAAAAGCTTGGTCTACATAAAGAGTGAGGGGCACACAGCTGTCTTTACATCAAAGAGTGAAGCACCAAAGAAAAACCCAAAAATAGGCCAAGAGCTGACGCTGGCCTAATCACTAATGGGTTGATATTTAGGCATCTGAAGTTTTGACTTACTTGACAGCAAACTCCATTCACAGTGTGCCAGGGACTGTTCATTAATGCACCATACTATCCACTGCCATCAGCAACTGATCAAGGAAACGAGCCTCGCTAGGCAAAAGCTAGTTTGTCAAATCTAAGCGATTAACTAATCTTAAAATCTCACGCAACAAAGCTTGAATAGAGGCAATCATTCAAATACAAATAACCTCACACATTTATTTGCCTCAACTCTAGGGAACAAATCCACTCCATTCTGTATAGCAGAGTCTTCCTTGGCTTCCAAAGCAGGCGTGAAAGGCAGGGGCTGAAAAGGCAGACAGTGTGAAAGCACCCCAGAACAGGGCACCAGGGAAGCTGGGTATTGGAATAGCTCTCCAAGAAGAGCAAAGGGGCAAATAAACTTAACTGAGGTATAAGCTCTCCCCCATGGTGCTGACCCAGCAATTGTGCTTCAGGGTTTTAGCTACTGGAGAAAAAAATGGGCAAAATCCCTATGACTAACACATGTTCTGTACCTTCTCTTTGAAGCAGCCATCACTTACCTTCCTTCAAAGATCACCCAAATCAACTTCTTTGCTTCTGAGGCAAGCTCTTTAGCCTTTTCAAAGCTTTATTTAACATTCCCCAGGATTTTTTGCTCTCAAATGCATTTTAGTGTTTTGCCTGACGAGTCTAATTGTCCCACAATATCTATGTAGGTTTCCCTGCTCAATAGAGCCCTTAGTACTTCTTGCTGTCTAGCATGCTTTTCCCTCATCTTTTTCAAGTCTCTTCTGAATAGATCCTCTCAAGCAACCAGAAATTTTGTCCACTCAATTACAGGTTTTTCAAATAAGGGCCTTCCATAGAGACTAGATATATTATTAGTGCAGCTGCCTTCCTCCTGAGGCAGTACGTAGACTTCAAAAGCCAAAAAAAGAAAAGCCACCACCACTGTTGAACATCACAGTTCATCCCTTGCCATTGTTAGTTTATCACAAAAGATTAGTTCATCAGAAAAGGGAACAAACAATCCTCACTTCAAACATAAATCAGCTAAGCCCAAGCCAGGAGGTACACCTTAGTTGATCTACCCAAGGCAAGATAAACATGAGAGTGGCTGCCGGTGCTCATTTTAATAAAGGAGGTAACTATCACACAGAAGCTCTGGGTCCTCCAATTCCCCTAACAGTAGCCACAGATACTGTAGCACTTGCAAGATCAGACCCCACAATATTTACATTATCTAAACCAGACCTACAAAGCACTGGAAAGTCTTAAAAATTCCAAAGCTCTAAAACAATGGAAAAAAATATATAGACTTTCTGCAACTCTTTATTTTGATAGAAACAGGAAAACAAGACTGTGAAAGATCCCAGATGTTTGTCTTCCACCTGTGTGCTGGTCATTTTATGTTTTAGCATCATATACCTTGCTGAACTGTCCTGGTTTGTTGTGCAATTTCATCTCTGGTGACACCTGAAGGCAGCCTAACTGACTCCTCCAGGGGTATGAGTATGGCACAGCTGAGCAGGCTACCAAGAAACACTAGCATGTTTTTGGATCTGGTCTCATGCAAGAAGACACAAACCAGCAAGTGAACAGAAAGTCACTGACTTGGCCATATTTGTATTGGTGATGATGATGGCTGCTCCGCTGCAAATTAACCGAAGACAGGTTGATTTATATTTATTAATGAACAAACAGTTAAGAACTGAGAGATTTCCCCATTTTTATAGTGTAACAGGAGAAAAGAAGGCATAGAAGCCACAGAGTTTTCTCAGGCAAGTACTCTGCAAAGAGACAGCAGGAATTCTAATCCACTGACTTCCCATTCCATTCCCAAGTGCTGGGTTTGGTTCTTTAGCACTTCTTTACTATGTTTCCACAGTGAAAAAATACCAAAGCATTTCACCCCTGCAGCGAATAGCCTGCTCTATGCCACATTGGTAAGAAATGTCTCACACATTAGGAATGTTCTTCTGTTTCTGATGGATGGAAGAAGCAAGGAAAAGCTACAGGTACTCCACCAGCACCCATGTATTCTCACTGATGCAGGGGACACACATACCAAGTGCTGTCCTTGTAGCTAGGAAGGATGATGCTCAGATAAGCCGCTCCTAATTACTGCAGAAAAATCCATGCCTGATCATTGCATTTTATAAGGTTAAGACTTATGTATCATGAACTGCAAGTGAACAGACTTTATTCTATCTACTTTCCCTTACTAAAGAGTCACAGACTTTCAAGCAACCTCACAAACAATGTACAAAACACAACAAAATGTACTTTTCAAAGACAGGGTTTTCTTATTTCCTTATCCCTGCACTATTCCTGTCACCCAGCCTGGCCTCTATATGCCCAGATAGAAAATAGTTATTTCATTCTATTACAAATATTGTCACAATTAAGTCAATTTTTGCTTTTAAAAGAAAATCTAAAAAAAACAAACAAGTGATATTAACTGCTACAAAATTTTATGAGGCTTTAAAAAATATATTATGGAATCTTGTCACACTGAGTAATTTTTATTACAAGGGCAATTTTCTTTAATGAAAGTTGTTAGGTGAACTGGACGGATTCCAATGGCTGTGCCTACGCTGGGCAAAGTAATACAGGCCAAACATATAAATGAGAGTAAGATTATCTGCAGATTAAAAACTAGGCTGGTAGCTTGCTAACAGACTTCGCAATAAACTTGATATACAGTGTATACATTAACAGTACCAGACCAGAACTACTGCTTTCTTTATTTTGAGCTGTAAATAAAACTGTGTGAAGATAGCAGAGAAGCTTCAACAGCAGGCCTGCTTATCATAAGCAGTCCCAAAGCTTTCCAAAATAAGACTTCTTTTTTTCTTCCTAGGTCAAATTCCTGTGGTGGTCTTACTGCACTACTTCTTCTAGCCTCACCATCCAAGCACAGCTGCCCTCAGATGCCATGAGTCTGATGACCACTTATAGCATGGCAAGGACTTTCCAAAATAGGAATTTCTTATGTCCAGTTGAGTTTTCATTCCAACCACTGCACACCTGCCAATCAAACAGGCACCTAAGAAATGTTACCACTTCAAAACTAAACATATGCAGAAGTCGGAGGAGGACAGAGGAGCCCAAGGATTTTTTTTTTTTTTTTTTTTACAGCTTAAAGAAGCAAATGCATGAGAAACAAGGCAACTTAGACATGGATCTACAGGACCGGAACAGCTTAAATAGCACTGCAGTCACAGGGTCCATGGGACTCAACTGTTCCAAGTCAAAGCAGAAGTTAAGTCAATACATCCTCTCGCAGCAAGCCACGCAGCCTGTCTTCACTCAGCAGTGTCTAGATCCTCTCTGTCTCTTTCACATCTCATCGGCTCAGCCACGTTTTCACAGAGATTTTCACACATTTTGTGCAAAATCACCAGTAGGTTTGTAGCATATTTCAAATTTATTTGTCCACGACCAAAGTAATTTTCCCACAGAAATCAGTGGAAGAGATCCAGCAATTCTCAAGTTTCTAACATCTTGCCTGCATGCTTTGACAGCTGCTTTCCTCAAGAGCTGCTCTGCGGTACAAAGGAACTTCATTCCCTTGAGCTCATGCAGCTCAGTTTTGCAGACAGCAGCAGGCCACTGTAGTCACAGCACACAGATGAAGCCTGGCCTGTTTTGTGCTCTTTTCCCTCCCCCAAATCACACACCAAGACCTGAAGCACCTGCTTAGAGGTAATTGCATATGGGTTGGTTACCTTCCCCACAGACACTCACAAAACCCATTGTTCTGTGCAACTAGTGCATACCCCCCCCACTAGGCAAATGTGCTAGGCTGCTTCCCAGTAGGCTGGCAGAGTTAGAAAAGTAGTTGCATCAGGCCTGCTAGGTTCTTGAGAGTTTGTTTTGTTTTTAAGCAAGAGATGCTCCTTGGAAGACACGGAGCTGATAACTCAGGTCATTCTCTCCTGAGACGCAAAGACTAGTGTTGCTTTGAGGAAATCATTGGGCTCTTTTAGAGCAGACTCACAGTCTGGTGGCACTTTGGGACTCCCCAAGCTCAGACGATTAAGAGGACCTCCACCTCTGACCACAGTGAATCTTGGGCAGGTGCAAATGGGAGGTGCTCAGCA